CGTATATATATACATATATGTGTGCCTGTGTATGCATACTAATAAGGGAATCTAAAACAATGAACTACTGGCTTTAAACATGCTAATGAGTAAATATGTATAAGCTGAAAACATGTGCATTTTAAAATCTAAGCATATACACAGGAAAACTCAGTTGGCAGCACAACATGAAATTATAGCACTACAGTGGGAACTGTATTTTAAATTTTATAAACTGTTTCATATCAAGAATGAAATGATGATACATTTTTTAATATGCTTAAAAGTGTATAGATTACTATCAGTGTTTCTAGCTCATATGTGATTTTTCATTTATTGATTTCTGAATGTGAAATCTAATCCTGTCTCTGGACAGTTGAAAGTGTAATCATCTGGGTCATGAATGTCCCCAAATGTACACTGATTACTATCATGAAAGCTGGAGTGGTGTAAATAACTCATATAAGGGCCATAAACTATAAGGAATTGGATTAACTCTGCTGTTCTTTTCTCTGCCTTTTTTTTTTTTTTTTCTTTTCTTTCTTGTAACAATTTTCTATTGTTAATCTTTACACTGTATTTAAACACTCTTTACCTTATTAAATCCTATATTCAGCTGCTTTGCCATTATTTCAGGAGTTGACATCCTGTTACCATCTTCATGTATGAACCTGGAAGTTGTATCAATAAGGTTCTTATATTCAGATCTTAAGTTGACAGCTTTGCTATTTTATTAAATCTTTCATTACCCAAAACTCCAAAATCTGCACAAATACACTAGAATTTTGGCTTTGTTCCTCAGGCAAAGAGAGCATAAATCTTCAACTATCTTTCACAGCTTTTCCATTCTTGCTCCTGGATGGCATAGAGGCTGAAGGTTGAATTGATATAAAATATTAGGAACTATTTTGATTAAATGTAAAATTGCATTGCTGAGAGCAATAAGTTCAGTTTGGAAGACTTAGTAGTTAAAAACTTAATCTTTGTGACGAGATCTGGATTACATTGTTCCCTAGTACTTCACACAGCTTGCTGTCAGTATCTTGCTCCTTTTCCAAACCATCTGTAAACAAAACATGAAGTTTGGTTTGAGTTCAACACTAATGCTGAATTCTGCAGGGTGGCAGTGTGCTAACAAAATGCTTTTATCATTATTTGTGGCTAATAATAAGTTTAGAACTAGATAAAATTGATCTTACACTATTCATACTCTTTCACTGGAACAATGTTCCCTTTGAGAACACTTTTAGCAGAATAAATCACCATGCCAAACTGTTTGGACTGGTTCAGAATAATTTAGACACATTTAATATGTGGCAGGATTTGTGGGAACAGTAAATCTGTAATGAAACAAATGCGTATCTAAACTGTCATAGAACGTGTTGGTACCATCACAGAATATTTTTGTATTGGATATAGCCACAGAATATATTGGTATTGGATATGACAGAAATTTTTCAAATAAAGTAGCTACAGGAAATTCGAAATATTGCAGAAAAAAAAGGGAGGGGAGAAAAAACTTGCATAATGTCAGAAATCATGCGATTTTTGTGACATCATAATTACGTATGTTTACTTGACCTCTGATGTCAATCACAGTCTTCATTGTTGTGAAATTACAGACTGTAAATTTGATTCTTAGTCATTTCAATAATGCATCTTAGTTTTGATAGAATTTTAAAACTGTGTTGCTAATGTTCCATCGTTTAAGTACTCATTTTTCTCTTAATTAATATTCAGCTAATTTAGGTTTTTATCTTTAAATAATTTTACATATCCATTGATGTTTCCAAATATTTGGATTGTTTTGGTTGTACTAATTTTTTTTCATTTATTGTTTTTTGCTTTATTTTAATTTTCCATTTTGCTTCCATTCTTGATTTGGAGGCCTTATTTAACTTTATCAGATTCTGATTACTAATAAAATTCTTTGTGTTGTTATTTAGAAAACTGACATTGATTTGATTTTCATGTAATTTCTTTTGTTTAGTTCTTAGCAATATTATAATACGGATAATCTCATACACATATATTTCAGTAGGACAAGTTTATCAAAAGCAGCAAATTTGCAAAAAAATCACGTGATTTGGCAACATTGGGCAGATACAAAACACATTTAGAAATTTTTAAACTAGTTTTCGAATTTAAACTTAGATTGATATCGAGGTTTCAAAGAAAAGTGTTATGCATATTAAGATAGTCTGTCTGTGTTCCTCTTATTGTAAAAAAAAAAAAAAAAAAAAAAAAAAAAAATTCTACGGACTTTTTTTTTTTTTTTTTTTTTTTTTTAAAACATACGTGCATGTAATCTTTCTATAAAGCTAGTTAGTGTTACTGAATGCTTCCTATGATGTTTTCCTATTTTCAAAATTCAAATTGGTTTGCTTCTTTTTCATCTGTGTCCTTTTAGAAATATTATGCCATGCTGCTTTGAAAGTACATGTAGAAATAACATGCTATACTATTTGCTGCCTAGTCATAATATCTTGGTTCTTAGTGTACATTTGAATGTTTAAGAAAATAATTTTTAGCTACAAAGTAAAAATTTCACTTTCTTTTTTCAAGAAATTGAATATTCTTATAAATTTGAGTATAGGAAATAGGTTGTTAATTTTCTATCCACAGAATTTGCATTTTAGTATAATACAGATTTGATTATCATTTAAATTTAATTTATTGAGTTTTATAATAGGATATTCATATATAATCACAGTGAGTTAGAGTAAAAATGTCAGAATTATGCTAATTTAAAATTTTTCATCCTGCAGAATACAGCTTTACTTGAGATCAATTTCATTTTCATTCTTTTTCATTCTGAAGATCAGGCCAAATTCGTGAATACAAGGGAACAAATTTTTTGATTAGCTTCTCTGTATATTAAAATATACACTGCAACAATTTTAGAAGATGAATCACATTTCTAAGAATATATTCAAATGAGTGAAAGTTGGAAAGAGAATGAATGATAACATTCACATTATGAGATATTTTGTCAATATATAAGGTAACCCATAACTCTCCCCCATAACATAGGTTCATACAAGATGGATTCGTATAACATGGTAAAAGAATGAGACAGATGTTATGATTTTATTACGTTTCAGCTCCAATAATTAATACAACTTTTGGCTGGTTATTGAAATTGCAATTCAGAGTTATCTTGAGAAGCATGTTGTCTTGGAGATTGACTTGTGAAGATAAGAGTGAAAATTTTATTTTTAGATGGACTATGAAAAAAAGAGAAGCTAACAAGAAATTGACTTTAGAGAAAGGAGCAAAGATTTGCTGAAGTGACTTATGGTAAAATAAAGACCCTTTTCAATCTGACAACTCATTGCCATGGAGAATAACTCTAAGAAGAATAATGTATATCCCTTGGGAAAAAAATTAAAATTTTGAAAAGGTTAAAATTTGTTGAGAAAGAAATAGTCATTGCTAAAGATTTAAAAAATAAATGAGGCAACTATTCGAGCAATAAAAAGAAATTAAAATAACAGCTAGAATTTCCTCTGCATCTTTAGTAAGTTTGAATAAAACTGCTGACATAAAATATACTTTAATCGCTAAAGTGGAAAAGTGTTTGATGTTATAGATAGAAAATTGCTCTTAAATGAATTTTCCTTTGAATGGTAATATGATAAAGCAAAAGGCAACAAAGATTTACCAATACATAAAAGAGCTTGAATTCATTTCTTTTAATGAGTTACATCAACACTAATTTAAACAGGGTTGCCACTCAAACATGAGAATGAAATTCCCAAATTTTCCAGGTGTGTTTTAAGAAAATTTCAGTCTAGCCATGTAATTCGCATTGGATGTGCAGTGCTGATAGTAAAGTAATCATAGTACCATTTGAAAACACAACAATTTGCCAACCACATAGGACTATTAAAAAAAAAAAATATCCCTCAATTTTGATTTTCCAAAGCATTGCTATTTGAACTATAATACCAATATCATACCTTTCTCCTCAATAACTCTGAAATTAAGTTTTTGCCAAACTAAGAAAACTTTTTGCATAATATTTGCATATTAAACAACCCTTCTCTTCAGCAATCAACTGTATCATAAAATTAGTTAAGTCCAAATAAATTCCCTTTTTAATTGCATGAAAAGAGTATATAGTATCAGAAGCGATCATTAGTGCATCTGAAATATTTGCAATCACTGACACTGAAATCCATTTATAATAAAATGTCAGCAGAAATATAATTATATTTATATATATTTTTAATATTTAAAAGTATAACTTTAAAATTAATTTTACATGCATAAAAACACACATTTAGAAAAGAAATTAAATACTTTCAATATATTCCATCTAAGTAATAAACAAAATCAGACATGAAATTCATTGATTTTTCAATACAATGTATGAAATTTTAAACACTGTATTTTTCCACTATTAATTGTGATGAAATTATGTCAAACAGCTTTATTGTTTTAAAAAGTATTTAAAGATAAATTCTGGAATGGAAGGTATTATTTACAAAATGACAATGGAGGATCAACCACATCTATCCTTTAAATTATATGCAATTATTGAGCAATCACCTCAGTCATATTACAACACTTGCTAAATCATGAAAGGTCAAAAAATCACTTTTTTGTTTTTAAGAAGTCAACAGGCTTTTGATGAAAAACTTTTAATATATGTATATATAACACAAATTAAAGCAAAAATTAAGCACGGTTAAAAAAAATGAAGAATAATATATATCTGCCACAATTTCAAAATAAGAAATATGTTTTATATAATAAAAAATTGTTTTTATATCAAAAATCAGCTTTTTAAATTTGGATTAAAACTACTACTTTTCAAACATTTTATTTGACTTAAAAGGATATCACTTTTCGACTGGCATGAGATACATTAGCACAATATAAGTGAAAAAAAAAAAAAAAAAAAAAAAAAAAACTAAATTTAGAGTATGAGAAAAGAGTTAAAAAATTATGAAAACAATTACTAATTTAAAATGAAAAACAATTACTAAAGTAAAAAATTAGCATTGTTATATTACCATGGTCTCCAATTAAAATAATGACAGTATGTTCAGCATATCCAGTATCCTCTAAAGCTTTTAATAACTTTCCTAATTGGTCATCCATGTAAGATAATGAAGCATAGTAACCTTGGCGAGCTAGTTTCTGCAGAATAATTTAAAACTATTAAGGCTGAACTTTCATTGTAATGCACTTCACTAGTAAACAAATTATTTAGTAATAATAACAATAGCATACTTATAATAATAATTTCTTGCTAAAAATTTTTCAAAATTAAGTTATATTTACTATACATAGACATACTAAATTTAAAATATAACATGACACATCATTGCAGACCACTTAATGTTAGTTTATTTCTTGTTACATAATGCCTTTACTTATATTTTAAATAGCTTATAACAAAGTTTATTTAAATTCTGTTACATAAGAATAAATTGAAATTAATTAAAAAAATTAAATTTAAATACATATTTAATTAAATAATCTTTGCGCTATTGCTGCAAGGAATGAAATTTAAATTTAAACAAATTTAAATTCTTAACAAATACGTATAAAAGTAAAAGAGTAAAAAAGCAAATTTAAATTCTAAAAAAAGGAAAAAAGCCAAAATAATTTAAAATAATTTTAAAATATGCAAACATGTAAAAGATATAATTCTCGAACTAATCTACAATATCATTTAAATTCAGAAGCATAAGCAAATCAAGTGCAAAATCTATTCATGAAAATAAATCTATTAATTTAATAAATTAAAATTAAAATTAACAATTTTTTTAAAAAATGCATATGTGAATGATCGTAGAGTAGGCAGGAGACAGAGTTATCAAGGGGAAGAAGTTGCCTCCAAACCTAACTCTCCAATCATTCAATTCGTGTTTCGTCATTCATGCAGGCAAGGGTAAAAATCAAAACCAAAAGTAATTCCAATAAAGTGGTACCCTTAGAAATAAACATTTAAGTATTAACATTTAAGAATTAAAAGTTCCAAAAGGAAAATACTAATTAAGTCTTTTGAGAAACAAGCAAGTAAAGTTAAGAATTAAACTTTTTCTTAAAAAATTAACTTTTTTAAAAATTAATTTTTTATAAAATAAAAAAATCTAGAAACCAATGTATTTTAGAAATCCTTGTCTACAGAAACTTCCCCTACACGAATATGCATATCAATAAAAAGAAACTATAAAAGAACTATACATAATCCATATAAACCAATAAGAAATAAAAAACAAAAAGAACTAATTCACAATTTTTAAAATAAATATATATTTAAAAATATAATTTCATATTTAGAAAATACTTAGATACTACATAAAAAATTAAAAAAAAAAATACTTAAAGCAAGTAAATAGTAAGTTTTAATTCTAATTTACCTACTATATGAGTGTTGGGGGTCTGCAAAAGTGTTGTGAAAGAGAAGTAAGTGTGTTCTGCAAATTATATAGATGGCGCTTATGTAGGTAAAGTTGAGTGTCAAGCTGCTATCTTTGTTACAGTAAAAAAATTTTTTGTAAATATTAATATTAATTAAATTAAATTAAATTAAAAATCCTAAAGGTAGTAATATCAATTATTTAGGGAGTTAAGTAACTGAGCCAATCAAGAGATGTATGTTTGCTTGAAGGAAATTTAAGTGAAGTGGTATGTGAAAAAAAAAAATGTAAACTGTTTGTAATTTGAAATGTGTGTTCTGTTGAAAAATTGTGAAAATTGTTAAAAAATTAAGTGAAAGATATTGTGTGTGAAAATTGCAAAAAATTAAAGTAATTAAGAAAAACTGAAAGGTTTTAATATTAAAGTTTTAAAGTAAAATTTCCCAAAATTTTTTTGAAATGAAGTTCTTAAAAAACCTCTAAAAATTCCCAGAAATTTCTCAAAAATTCCTTTAGGAAGTTAAATAAAACTTAAATTTGAGGAAAGAAAATATTAAAAGTTTAATGAACTTGATTTAATTGGTAGTATATCAAAACTTAACTAAATACTGGCTAAAGTATGGAAAATTAGAAGAAGATTAAAATCTTCACTCAATTCGGGCTATAATTGAGACTTTTGAAAAGAGTTGGCCCTTTATTAGTAAAAGGAAAGAATCCAGTATTGATTAAATATACATATTTACAAAATATTTACAATAAAAATTTACAATAATTTCTCTACTCTTTTTATATCCTTCATTACCCTCCAGTTAAGGTTTAAGGTAATGTTATCATATCCAAAAGAGCCAAAAAAATTATAAAGTAAAGTCAAGGCCTGCCTTTTTAATATATAAATTAATAAATTTTGGTGGTACTTGGTTACCAACTTGTACATTAATTAGTTTTATGATTTCTTCCTTTAAATCGTCATTTTCAGTACATTTATTTTTTATTCTGATAATTTGGCTATGAAACGTGTTTTCTATTACTTTTCTAGAGATATTGGAGTTCCAATTAATTATTTTAATAGTAGGAAAATGGAAATTCCTTCTTTTATCAAATAATTTAATTTTGTTGTGTTTAATAATTTGCAGGTCTAGGAATTCAATAGTATCTTGATTCGTATTCGTTTTATTAAGTGTTAAAACTATTTGGGTAAATTTTGAATTTCTCAAAAGTAGAATTATTATTGAAAGTTATAATATCATCTATGTATCTAAAAGTATGAGCAAATAGCTTTAATTCATTTTTATTTAAACTGAGTTGGAATTTATATTCAAATGTAAAAAGAAATAGGTTACAAATTTGTGTAGAACTGTTTGCTCCCATAGGAATTCCTCTAACTTGCTGAAAGATCTTATTATTGTATTTAATGTAGTTATTAAATAATGCACAATTCAGATAAGTATTCCATCTTTCAATACAAAGGATGTTAAGTATGCCAGGAAAAAGTTGTGGGAGTTGCATTAAACTAGTAAAAATTTCTTCTAATGGTAGAGAAGTATAAAGGTTTTCAAAGTCATAGCAGTTAATGTTCTTGATTGTTAAACTTTTAAAACTGCTGAGAACTGGAGCATTATTATAAATAATCCAACTATAATTGTGTTGTTTGTTAACGAGATGTTGGATTAAATTACAGATTTTTTAAGTATAATTGCAAATATGTAATCTATATTCTTTTTATAATTATTTGTACCATTAGCAATAAATCAAAATTTGAGTGGTGATTTATGAAATTTTGGGAGAGAATATAGATTTGCTAATCTATTGTAGTTAGATGGTTGTGAAATTTACAGTTTCTTATGAAATGCTTTTAGCTTTTTTGCAATAACATTTTCTTGCAGATTGGTGAGTTTGTAAGTAATGGAATTATTGAGTTCAGTATTAATTCATGAGACATAAAAAAATTTTCATATTATGCTAAAGTTATTATTGGCTTTGTCAATTTTGGTAATTATGAACTTTTGTTTTAAATCCTGTAAAAGAGGTATGAGAATATTCCACTGTAAATGGCTATTAAATTCAATTCTTTGAATTTTTTGCTTGAATTCTTCTAATACTGCATGTTTCCATGCCATAAAGGTAGAATTTGGAATATTTAATTTGAAACTAGTTTTAACTATAAATTCATCTATATTTTTTACAAAACTTTTAAAACTGTGATGTTTGTTAATTTTTAGTACTGGTCTAAATTTGGTACCTTTTTCCATTAAAATTCTTAAATGTTGGTTTTGAACTATTGCTAAATTGCCTGTTATAATATGTTGATGAAATTTATCCATGAAATCAAAATATGTTTCACTTAAATTTTTTTAACAATTTTCACAATTTTTCAACAGAACACACATTTCAAATTACAAACAGTTTACATTTTTTTTTTCACATACCACTTCACTTTAATTTCCTTCAAGCAAACATACATCTCTTGATTGGCTCAGTTACTTAACTCCCTAAATAATTGATATTACTACCTTTAGGATTAATTTAATTAAATTTAATATTAATATTAATATTTACAAAAAATTTTTTACTATAACAAAGATAGCAGCTTAACACTCAACTTTACCTACATAAACGCCATCTATATAATTTGCAGAACACACTTACTTCTCTTTCACAACACTTTTGCAGACCCCAACACTCATATAGTAGGTAAGTTAGAATTAAAACTTACTATTTACTTGCTTTAAGTATTTTTTAAAAAAAATTTTTATGTAGTATCTAAGTATTTTCTAAATATGAAATTATATTTTTAAATATATATTTATTTTAAAAATTGTGAATTAGTTCTTTTTGTTTCTTTTTGTTTTTTTATTTCTTATTGGTTTATATGGATTATGTATAGTTCTTTTATAGTTTCTTTTTATTGATATGCATATTCGTGTAGGGGAAGTTTCTGTAGACAAGGATTTCTAAAATACATTGGTTTCTAGATTTTTTTATTATTTTATAAAAAATTAATTTTTAAAAAATTTAATTTTTTAAGAAAAAGTTTAATTCTTAACTTTACTTACTTGTTTCTCAAAAGACTTAATTAGTATTTTCCTTTTTGAACTTTAATTCTTAAATGTTAATTTTTAAGGGTACCACTTTATTGGAATTACTTTTGGTTTTGACTTTTACCCTTGCCTGCATGAATAACGAAACACGAATTGAATGATTGGAGAGTTAGGTTTGGAGGCAAATTCCCCTTGATAAGTCTGTCTCCTGCCTACTCTACGATCATTCACATATGCATTTTTTAAAAAAATTGTTTAATTTTAATTTATTAAATTAGTAGATTTATTTTCATGAATAGATTTTGCACTTGATTTGCTTATGCTTCTGAATTTAAATGATATTGTAGAATAGTTCGAGAATTAAATCTTTTACATGTTTGCATATTTTTAAATTATTTTAAATTATTTTGGCTTTTTTCCTTTTTTACTTTTATACGTATTTGTTAAGAATTTAAATTTTAAATTTAAATTCTGTTATTTATTTAAAATACTAATAGCTACATGGCCAACCTTCATCTGGCTTTTAAAATGTACCAGAAAACTGCCAAAAGGGAACACTAAACGTTAAACTTAAAAACTGCACAGAATTTTACTCTGCATAACAACTTCCTCATTTTTTTTTAAATGTATTACATATAACAAAATTATAATGAAATAAGCAATATCCCTTAATACAAACATTAATTATCCTAATAAATAAATTAACCAACTTCCCATTAAAAAATCTTAAGAATTCGAATCGTATAAAGGAAGTTAAGAATTTTGTTTCCTAAAAAAAAATCATACAAAACTTTTTATATAATTAAAACATAATATAAAAAAATTACAATGAAATAAGCAATAACTCTCATATTTTCAAGAGAAAACAGTCAGTAGTCCAGTATCCAAAGCAATGAAGGAAAAACTGTTGCCAAAACTACATTTCTAAAAGAATGAAACTATCATCAGAAAGCAATAACCAATCAAAATTGTGCTTTGTAGGTGACATAATTCAAAATATACAAACCTCTTTGCCATTAGCTAATAAAGAGAGAGGGGAGAAAAGGAAATTCTTTCTGTTGTGCCTCGCGAGACACATACACATCAGAATAAGAAGATTGCAATGCATGTGTTGCGTGACCGAAAATCAAAAGAAAAAAAGTAGCATTTTATCTTATATTTTCAACAGTCAGCAGTCCAGTATCCAAAGCATTGAATGAAAAACTGTTGCCAAAACCACATTACGAAAAGAATGAAACTATTTAAAATGATGTGATAAAATCAAAAATAAAAATAAAAAAAATTCAAATTTTGAAAAAAAAAAAAATCGCTTTGAGGTGCACACTCTCTTGTCTAGATGCACCTGTATACCAAATTTCGTAGCCCTGGGTCTGTTAGCTTACGCACAGCCTGAACGAAAGACACACAGACTCTTTCTTCTATTATATGCAGAGATAAAAATAACTTTAATCCCCCCCCCGAAAAAAAAAACTGATGCAAAAATTAGAAAGGAAAAATGAGTATCCTTTTATAGTCAAACTGTTTTAAAAAATAGTTAATTTACTTGGCCCTGGATACTGCAGTTTTGTTTCTAGATAAATAATACAATTACAAAATTCACTAACATAAGCAAGAATCTAAAATATTTATAGAAGATTTGCTTTAATACAGTATTCAGTGATGCCACAGACTTGGTTTTTCATGGGAGCTGTTAACATTATTAAATATATGGGGACTACAGTATGAACATAAAATTCTTAAACATGCAAAACTCTTATTCTTTAATTTATACCTGACATATTTAATTTTTTTTTGTTTGTTTTTATTTTACTGTATTTTGTAATGTTAATTTTTATTTAAGTGTGAGGACATTATCATTTAATTATTAAAATAAAGTATAATAAGGAATCTGCAGAAAGCAGAGATCCATCAGTTTAATAACAGAATCACTATCCCATCACAGCACTTAACACTACATAAATGGAACAAAAAAAAAAAAAAACTACAACATAAAAATTAACACAATGACTTAAAAAATTCAAATTATGATTATTTGCCATGCAAACAAGAAACAAACCTTTAAAACCATACATTCTAATTGACTGAAGATTTCAGTGAAAATTTCTTTGTGACTAGGCACCTCATTTATATTATAAAATTTAATGAAATAAAGATATAATTTCCTTTCACTTTTAATGTTTATGAAATAAAATATTTCTGTAAAATGCTTCTATTCCTTCATCATTATGAAGACTTTAAATTTACAAGTTTATCACAATAATTTTTGTCTGTCATTAAATTCTATCAAAAATGATTTCCAAATAACAGATACGGAAAAATTATTGTTTCTTAACAATAAGTTCTCTAGATTCCCATATAACAGTACTGTTAGGGAACGAACATCAAAGGTGGTAGGGCATGATATATAAAAGGGTAGGAACCTTTCTTCCTTTGAAGGTATGTATGAAGACAAAGAATTTTCAGAAATGCTTACTTGCATCTATCAGAAAGAAAAAGAGCTTGTATACAAAGTAAAGGAATGACCAATATTTGCTTTATTGCATGCATTGGATGGCATATTCATGTATGGAAAAATGCAAGATGAAAATGACTAAAAATAAATGTAGTAGATTTTATATATTAAAACTCCTTACATGTTAAATAACAAGAATGTTAAAGAACAATGTAGCAATTTTTAACAGGGTGGCAAGATATGAGCTACCTAGCTATTTGAATGGTAATGTGGTAAATAGTCTTAGCTTCAAAAGTATTCAAGGTAAGTGGAAGGAATTATAACAATAAGTATGTACAAGTGGTAAAAAAGTCTGCAAAAGACCCATGAGCAATGTGAACATATTTAAACAATTATGTATGACTTAACCCTGAGTGGCCAGGGTTTTCACTAAGGAAGCACAAATTTCCCAAAACTACTATGAGAACAAATTATTTTTGTGATTTTATTGTAAAAACTCTCCTGGCATTTCATACCTGGATTTGTTTTCTTTTGATATATTGCCTTAATTTCTTTGACATATTTTAATATGCACATATATATACATTCTTACAGATATCACGAAAAATATTCTAAGCCGTATATATACAGTCTTGCCACTTAGAAGGTTAAAAAGTCTGAAAATGGATACTTCTACATTCTGTGAACCAGAATGATAACACATGCAATTTAAAACCAAATTGAGAAATCAAGCTTTTTTCTAATAAGATGCAATAGCCCTTTTACACTAATTGTCATGCAGATGTGCCAGTATGAAGTGCACTCACTTCCCGACTGGCACATAGGTGTGACAAAGCATTTTCTCATTCACCCCCATCCATCATGCATTCAAATCACAGTTTGGGAATATTTTAGAAACTAATATTTTTAGCCCAAGATGGAATTATTATTCCATAGGATTTCCTTTGAGGCACAAGTAGGTGTGACCTTTTACATATATCTTCTACTTGATATCAGACAGAGATGATTTACATGCACTTGAATTTTAATTACATAAACATAATGTGAAAGGCATGTTCTTGACTTACAAGCTTGTTGACAGCTCTTACAAAAGATGTAGTATTTATTAATGAACAGCTACGGAAGTGTTTTTTTTGGGGGGAGGGGCTAAAGCATTGGATATTTCTTTAAATCTGCACATGGTATTTGTTGATAAATATTAAAATATTATAGGAGTTTAAGAAGTTGCTTATTTTATTGTTAGAACATCACAATTTATCTGCTTTTGCTTTGCATAAAATAGCTCACCAACCTTAAGTAAATATAAAGGGAGGTTCATATAAGATTCAACTGCCAGTTTTTAAATGGGATGTTTATAAATTTCTGCATGCAAAGTATAAAAATAAGTAATTGTCATTTAGGAAGCTCATCACAAAGAAACTTCTCCATGGCAAATAGCCTTTAAGCAAGGAACTAACTATAATGTACCAAATAATATCAAGTCTTGTGTATTTAAAGCATACATAAATACTTTTTTAAGAACAGAAGTTTCATAAGTCATACCTGAAAGTCCTCAGGAAGAGGGCCGTAGGGAAAGCTAACATTCAAATTCTCTACATCTTCTCTTAATCTGATATCAGTCCATGGATTCCATGCTATTTCAGGTAGTTTTGGTGGTAATGTATTATTAGGAGCTAGATCCATAGAATCTATTGGATAAAGATCTGGAAATAAAAGTGATTAAACATATACGAGGGCAATCCCAAAAAAAAAAGGTCTCTTATTTTTGGGGGACGTAGAGAAAGTTTTAATACGGTTGTTGGCAACACTGTTGTGAGTGGAGCCTTCTCCGCTACTACATAAGCACGCAGGCGCTTCGCTCGGATGCTCAGTCTTGGCTTGGCAGCCATTCGAAATGGAGCTCCCGACAAACGTTATCTCCAAGTGCGAAGTGCGCGCAGTTGTTCGATTTTTGAACGCAAAAGGCGTTAAACCGGTTGAAATTCACCGCCTATTGATGGAAGTGTATGGACAGTCATGCATGGATGTCAAAAATGTTCGCAAGTGGCATAGAGAGTTTACAGCTGGTCATACTGAAAATTCACGATGAAGAAAGAAGCGGGAGGCTGTCAATTGCTGATGAGACAATCGCAAAAGTTGAGGAACTCATGCGTAAAATTCGGAGGATCACTCTGGATGCTCTCTGCATTTTGGTTCCTGAGGTTTCCAGAAGCACCATCCACAGGATTTTAACACAGGAAAAGTTGCAATATCGGAAGGTGTGTGCAAGATGGGTGCTGCGTATGCTGACAGAAGACCACAAACGGCAACGGGCACCCAGCGATTTCCACCTGTTCCCTAAGTTGAAGGAACATTTGTCTGGATGATGGTCACTGATGATGAGGTGAAAGATGAGGTTCAATGCTTCCTGAAGGGCATGGAGGCAAGCTGGTATGACATGGGCATTGTAAAACTGCCACAGTGTCTACAAAAATGCATCGATTGAAATGGCGATTATGTTGAAAAAATAAAGCATTCTTCAATCTTTAAAGTGATGTAGCAATTATAGAAAATAAACGGTTCTTTGTATATCTAAAAATATAGGAGACCTTTTTTTGGGGGGATTGCCCTCGTAGAATCTTCATTAAGAATTAGCAGATGTAGCCAGGCAAAGCTAATTCTGATATTTCAGATTTGATATTTGATAAGATAGGAATTTCATAAATTTAATTTTTAAATTCCAAAATATTATTTCAAAACTATATGTTACACTATTTAGTTTTTACAAAAGGGCACATTCCTGTGAACAAACTAGTGTACATTCAGGCTAAAAGAAAAATATGCATCAACTTTGGGATTGGAGAAAGCCCAAATCAATGGATTAATTATCTAGTTTGCGTACAATTATTCAAAATTTTATTCCTCTCATTCCTAAAAAAACATACAAATTCCATTTTATGTCATTCTACTAATGCATGTATACAGTTTTTCTAATATTTATAATAGAGTGGGTCCCACACAAAACTCAGTCAACTAATAAGTGTTTTAAAGAACACAAATTAGCTGTAGGAACACATCTATTTTGGCTAAAATTGACTATATACATTAATTTTTACAAACAAAATGTAGTCCTACTTTGAAAACACGCAAACAGCTATAACAGCAAAATTAAGTTTTCAAAAAATTTTACATGGCTGAACCATATAAAATGCAACTCACATTTTAGAACCATGCAAAGCTAAAAGGGAAAATGTGATAAAATGCTCGTAAACAAACATGAAGGAAAAAAAAAATCAACATGAAGTATTTCTTGTTACTTTTTTCAATATATGATGTTGGATATTTATTGCAATTTCTTTAGTGTTGATTTTTAGTTGCAGAAGTATTCCAAGCTTTTATTGTAAGCTTTTTCTTTAAGGTAACCCAATAAAAAAATTTGGAAGCTTTGGTGGCCGTAAGCCATGGCCAAATGACATGGTCACCAAAATATTCATGTACAAAAGTGATGATTTTAGATAATGTGATATTGCTCCATTATATTAGAAAGAATGGTTTTCTGAGTCCCAAATCTGTTGCATTGAATATAAGTATTTTCCTGGATATCCACATGAAATTTATCTGCAAAAATTAGCAAGTTCAAAACATCACTTAGGTAATGAGCATATAAAAGTCAGATTGAAAATATTTGATAAGAATATTTATAATTTTTGTGGTCTTGCTTTATTTTTTGCTGTTTGAGCATATCTTAAAATTTTAGTATAAGCAATTGCTGTCATTGAGCTATGGTTATGTTTTGCTAGTTGTTGTTGTGCCTATATCACATGGAACAATGGTTGCCAAAGCCTACTCTGAAGAGAGGTTGGACTTCCATTTTCCACCCTCAATTTCGAGGGAGAGCACCCCGGAGGAGGATCTGAGGGTCTCCCCCCAATCCACACGAGAGGACCTTTTGTTGGTAAACTAACTAAATAAAACCAGAGCTAACATATGCCTTATTTATAGAAGAAAATTCTTACATGAAAAGAAACATTTCCTTGCATTTTAAGGTTAAAAAACACAACAAGCCTTTGTAATACTTCTTTGGCGAAATGAAGCAACTCCAATGATGGAAAACAGCAATAACGTTTATTTAACACTCAAAAAATGGCAACATACAAACAAGAAGAGAAAACATATTCTAACATTTAAAAATAAATTACATTCTTCGTGCGAGAGTCGCACGGGGCACTCGAGTCTGGTTTCAAATATTGCCATTCACAAATACCTTAATGTTCATCTATTTAAATTATTTAAACTACAAGATTTTAATATTATTTAAAGCTGTTACACCTTCTTCTCCTACATAATAAAACATAAGAGGGGAAAAATAAGAAAATAAAGATTTATGAAAGGGAAGAGAATATAACAAAATTAATTTACAGTGCATATTATTTACTAATCAAATTTCGCCAGCATTCCAACAAAACAAAAAAACTAAACTTGCATATTTTGAAATATGATGAAATTTATAAATGATAAAATGTTTCATGCATTTGGTATAAAAATGTAATTAACCCATTCAAATATGTATAGTTAACAGCAGCTCGTTATCCTTTACATTAAAACATTAATTGAAAAATCCATCATACATAAATTGCATACATACAGAGGCTGTTTGCAGATATTTTAAACAATTTTCCTCTATTTATTAAAATATTTTACCTAAACCTTTTGTGTTTTAAATGCTCTGTTTGATAACCTTTATTCTTCACTATCTTTTATATATTATTATTGTTAATGATGCTTTATGCTCCCGCCAAGCCAGTGCTAGTTGGCCTCTTTAAGATACCAAGCTGAGCCAAGTGTATGTAGAAGCACTAGCTGTTCATGCTGTTCAGTCTGTCTGTGTTTTCCAGTATTCTGTGGTTTACTTTTTGTGTATTGTGCTGTTAATAAGTGTAGTTTTTGCAATGATGTGCGCCTAGGTCTACTTTTCCCAGGTTTTACACAACAGTAATTTCAAAAACAAGAGAGCCTTTTGTAGCATCAGAAGAGATTATTTTATTCCAATCCTCTTAAACAGCTTTGCAAAGTCCAAGGAGGTTTGTAGGTCAATGTTTGGACAATTCACTTTTTAAAAGTCCAAAAGCACAAAACTCCATGGGTGATACATCAAAATATTTAGTAGGGTTATGAGTGAAGAGTTCACCCATTTCTTGTTCCATTTGTTCCAGGAAATTAACAGTAGATTTTGACATGTGGCTGTTTGCTTTGTCTTGATGCAGTTCTACTAACTGATGACACAGTGGCTAAAGAGAAGATATTTCATATCTGAAAACTGGGTATTAGACATGTTCTTGATAATACGTGGAATTGATTTTAACATTTTTCGCCACTCTCTTTATTTTTAAATTGCCGTTAGATAAAAAACCAGCAACAATCATAAATCCCTTAGAAAAATTTTCCTTAGATTCTTTGAACCATGGTGTAAAGTTTTTCCCCTCTCCTCTTTGATGATGATAATGGATCTCTTTTTATTTCAGACATTTAAATACCACAATATTCATCTATTATGACAATATTTTTCATCGTTCACATCATGTTTTTTCCCCTTTTAAACATTCAAATCAGCAGTAATCATTTTGTTTACTTTGACAGTGAGCAATTTTATGATTTTCCTACTGTCCTTTGACTTGGTGGAATTTCTTTTAAAATTAAAGGTCTTACTTTGCAAAATTGGAAACATTCTGTTTTTCCCTTGGATATGTATCTGGCACAATTTTTCACCTTGAATCCAAACTTTGATTTATTTTTTCCCCTTCTTGTTGACAATATTATATTTATTGCAGCTTTAGAAATCACAAAACCATCGCTTTCATGTGTTTTGTAATAACTAGATATGAATAATTTTCTTTGGAAAGAGCACAGACATATCCTTCCAACCACTGCTTTTTTAAAACTGCCATTTTGCATGTAAACAAAACTGTCAAGGAGCAGATAGCAATTAATACTTTCAAAAATATAGCTACAGTTAAAACACAAATTTCCAAGCAGATGATGTTTTTTAATAGCAAAGCGTAATAGCATAGCTTTTCGAATAGCATCATCTAAAAAGTGTGCGAACAGCCTCTGTATTAGATTACATTTTTTTTTAATGAATATACCCTAAAATGGTCTAAAAGAACAGAAACGCTAATCATTATTCCCTAAATACTGAATAGTCTAATGAAAGAAGGCTAATGCCTACTGATGATGTCAGCCTTGTTTCATTGGTTCATCAATAATTAATCATTAAATTTTTAATTTTTAACTTAATTCATATTTAACATTTACTTTATAAAAATATTTTGCCATTAATGTTACAATAGTATTTTCATACTCCATTATTTCCAAAACTTACCAAGGTTTAATAAATGCATAATTTTTTTATATATATTAGTACAAATACATAGATATGGAAAAAATGTTTACCAACCTAAATATTCACGTGGAAATTTAAAAGGAATATGAGGTTTATAATATCCAATGCCCATAAAAAATGGTTTGTCTTTGTTTAGTCCTTTTCTCTTGCTCTTTAAGTAATTGATAGCATACTGTGTACTTTCAATATCTGGCAAACTTCCACCAGGTTGTTTTGCAACATCAACAGGACAAATCAAATTCATATGGTTCTTACCATCAGACGATGGACAAACCTATAATCACCAAAGATTCAAAATTATACACTTAAAAAAAATTTTAAAATCCAAACTTCTGTCATATTTTGCATGATTTACAACTTTGTAAAAATTTTAATTACTGGGTTTTTAAATAAAATCGATGATTTTAAGAACAATTTAAAATAAAAAGAGACAAAGAAGAAAATAATACCTGCTTTTCAATGAAATAATCTCCAGTAGCATAAATGTATTATTGCTAATAGTAGGCAAGTTATTTAAACCATGTCTGTAAAATTTAGTGTCTCTGAAAGTGATAAACTCTTCTACTGCATGATAAATAGACAAATCCATGGCAAAGCATTTTTTGGACAAAAAAAGGCTCAAGTACCAGAAAAATGGTAATCTGTTGGGAAAATGTCAGAAATATATAGAAAATGCAGTCCAGTTTCACATCCCAAACTGATGATTTGTTGTATCGTTGATACTGTCATATTATGATCAGGCTTTATCCTAAAGCAACATGACTCTCCGTGTCTTTCATAAGTACTGGTTGCTTAAGCGTAATTTGTGATGTGTCTGCCACATATTTGTACAGTATTCAGCTGCTTTTATCATTTCACTTCATGGAAAGCCAACCCCCTAATTGCCCGAAACTCGAGTTTGTCTATTCAAAATAAAGTTCTTGTATTTCAATCCATTTTGAGTCCCATCATCACTTATGCCTGTCCAGTCTGGGGTTTCCTTTGTGACACAACTATGAAAAGAATTCAAAAAGTGCAAAATATGACTTTGAGACAGATGGCAAATTGTCCCTGGTTCATCAGGAACGATGCAATTCATCGTGAACTCAATGTAGAAAAAATCAACGTCTGCTTTGCGAAAATTGCAAGAAAATTTTTCAAGAATATTCATAAAGTGAATAACAGCTCTATCCCACAGCTGGACTACAATTACCAGGATAGAGACAACAGAAAATGACCGAAAGCGGTCCTTATACATCTAAATATGTAAACTGTGATTGTTTTCTCTGTGGCCATTTAATTTCATAACTACTGCTAGACTCTGAAAAATATATGTCGCCATCTGATAGAAAGCTCTGCCACATAAGTTTTGCAATTATGTTATCTCGTAAATTAACTCAGTTATATTGTATCTCATCCAGCTTATAATATCTATCTTAATTTAATTCAATAGAAGTAACTCTTATTACCTTCCATGATCCTTTTTTACTTTAAAATAGACTCGCACCATTCAATAATATTGTTCATTATGTTATTACATTTACCCCTCCCCCCAGCCAATGCCTGTCTTGCAAGTAGATGCACTTCCTTTTCAGATTCACCATTGGTAAAGACTACCAGTAGCTCTGCCCACTTCTCTCAAGTACCACCACAGACGCCTTCAACTCAGACAAGCTCTTGCCATTCTGACGCTAGCACGCAGCATCTGCATTTACACCGCTGGACATCTATAGAACTAGCTCAACGTCTGCTGTATCTGAAGACTCTAAAATTGCACCTTCACGAGATTTATCTCAATTACGAACTTTGTCATGTTAGGTTAGAAAAAGATATGCCTTTTTTGTACGAGTTCTACACATGATGTGGTTTTATAACCCGGGTGCCTGCTGACAAGTGTTTCTAACACCTGAGTCTTCATGGAAAGAATAAATACTGAATAACATCACCCACCATACAATAAATAACACTTTCTTTGGATGTAAAGGTGCCTTTTCAGTCTTTCATTCCCAATCACTGTCACGAACACATAACAATTATCAGAGAATATCCACTTCCCAACCCATCAAATTCATTACAGGACCTCTCCTTCTTAACTTCTCAAGAGAGGAAAGTTTAATTCCAAATTCTGTGGTTTGTTTTCATCAGTAAGTTCGTAAGTGTCTTGCTGCTTGTCTTTCTTATTATTACCAGTTACCATGAAGCAGTTGAAAAGTGTGCGTTTAGATTTGCAGTCTGATACAGTTCATCATAGAGTTATATTTTGCAAACCAATACAAGTGGATCTCAAAGACAATTAAAATTAATAAATTGCAAACAAAGCAAATCAAAGAAAATTCACAAAAGAAAAAAATATATGCAAAAAACTTTTTCTTAGAAAGCTGTGTTGAGATATTTGTAATCGCATTCTTATTGGTTAAAAGGAAGTACAGCTTTCTGTCACGTCCGAAACATTCATTAGCTTTCAGCCAGGTCCGAGTTATTCTGAAACTTAATCCCATTCTGTATGTTTCTTTTGATTGGTTATTTATTGTGTCTTGTTCATGATTTGTTAAACCATGATCTGTTCTAAAGGTATATATATGACCTCTGTAACCGCTTATCGCTGCTAGTGCTTGTACTTACTTATTTCTGCTTGCAAGTAACTCTGCATATCTCGGTAATAAATATTTGTTTTGCGAACCACGGCATTTTCTATGTTTAACAGCAGAGCGTGGTTCCTTCAAAAGTTAGAATTCGCTGATAGTTCCCTAATTGAACCTTCAGTGTAATAATTTATTATTCGTGTGATTTTGATTTGGTGTAGCATGAATGATAGCTTTTTCCGGAAGTGAAAGGGAAGCTTTTGGTGTAGCACCATTTGACGGTGTTAATAACTTTACTGTTTGGTGTCGAAGAGTTCGAGCAGTATTTACGGCAAGGGAATTGGATACGTTTTTGGAAACAGAAGCAGTTGCGGACAGAGTTGCAGATGTTTTGAAATCAAAAAAGGCTTATGCCTTAATACTTGCACTTCTAAGTGATAATGTTATTGCTTCTCTTCAACGTGAAGACACTGCATGTAAAATATGGAAGAAACTACAAGCTACGTATAGCGCTAAAGGTGCAGTGAGTCAAGTTTTAACGAATAAGTGTCTAGCTACCATAAGGAAATCCAAGGATGTGTCAATGAGACAGCATATTGATCCTGGTGAGTAGTCTACGCGTCTCTGGCTCTGAAGTAAGTGACTTTGATATTATTATTTACATTTTAATGTCTTTGCCAAAGGAATATGAAAATATTAAGGCATCTCTAGAGAATCAGCCAAGCAATAATTTGAGTTTAGATTTTGTTACAAGTAGAACTTATTGGATTGTGAATCTCTTAGTTTGATTATAAAAATGAAAATAAGTATTCTAAACCAAATACAGATAACTCTGTTTTTATTACTGCTCGTAAAGACTTGTTTTGTACTTATTGTAAAAGAAAAGGACATTCTGTTAAATTTTGTAGAAAAAAGAACTACGTCTGTCATAACTGTGGGAAAACTGGTCATTTCAAAAGTGAATGTTTTGATAATTCTAAAAAGCAGGCAAATTCAAATAGTGATAAGTATGCATCCCTTGCAATATCTTTTATGGCTGGAAACCTTGTGCGTGATCAATTTATTATTGATTCTGGTGCAACTTCTCATATGTCTTCTCACAAGGAATGGTTTATCTCAATTAAGCCTCAGACTGGAACTGTTAAATGTGCGTCTAAGTCAGCAGTTTTAGAAGTGGAAGGAATTGGCGATATTTGCGGTAAAACTAAGAATGGTGTTGAAATAATGTTAAAAGATGTTCTTTACGTTCCCAAATTAAACGGACAATTAATTTCTGTAAAAAATATTAAAGCAGCAGGTTTGAGCGTAATTTTTAAAAATGGAATAGTTTATATTGAACACAAAAACAAGCGTTTTGGATTTGGATATTTGGACAAATGCGGACAATATTTTAGTGATTTTTCACCAAACCTATTTACAGCTTTAGCAGTAAAGAATGATGATCTATGACACAGAAGGTTAGGACACTGCTGTGATCAAAAATTAAAACTAATGAATCTTCCTGCAAGAATCCTTTTGTGAAGTATGTGTTCGTGCCAAACAGTGCTTTGCCTATAGGAAAGGGTCCTTGCATAAAAAAATCCAAACCGCTTATAACTATACACACTGATATATGTGGTCCAATAGAACCTCAAACACTCCATAGGGAAAGGTATTTCATGACTATAATTGATGACTATTCGAGATTTATGGAAATCGGACTGCTCAAAAGAAAAAGTGACATTGCTAATGAACTCAAACTATTCTTTAAATTGAATCCAACTGTTACAAAACTGTGCTGTGACAATGCGAAAGGATATGTCAGTGGAGAATTGCATGAAGTTGCTAAAAGAGCAGGTGTAAAAATAGATCCTGCACCTCCCTATACACCTTTTTTAAATGGTGTTGCTGAACGAGCAAATAGAACTGTACTGAAAAAAGCTAGAGCAATGATATTTGAGGCAAAATTGCCAAAATTTGTTTGGGCTGAGGCAGTACTTATGGCTGCTTACATAAATAATCAACTCCCAAATAGTTCAACTGAAAATTGTGTTCTTTAATTTCTGAAGTATGGTGAAAATCCTGATTTAACAAACATTCGTGTATTTGGCTGTAATGCTTATACTCTAGTGCCACCATCGCAAAGAAAGAAACTAGATGAAAAATCTGTCAGAATGATATTTGTAGGTTATTCCACAATGGGATATCATTTAATGATTCCGGAAACAAGACGCATCATTGTTTCCAGAAATGTTAAATTTAATGAAGAAAAGAAGAAAGTAGAAAATCAAAAATATATTCCCGATAGTTCTGATTTGAGTGAAAATGACAATGATGACATTAAAAATGAAGACAAATCAATTTCAGACACTGATAATGGCGAATTAAATGCTGCAAATAAGAAGGAGGAACAAAGAAAATCTTCATGAGAATAGAAACAGCCAGTTAGGTATCCTGATCCTGAGATTTACCAAATAATGTTTGCACAACAAGATACTCTGACATTTGAAGATATTGTAAATCTCCACAAGTAGAACAAAAACCATGGAAAAGAGCTATGGACAAGGAACTGAAATCTATGGAAGATAACAACGTCTGGGACCTACAAAGTTTACCCCCTGATAAAAGAGCTATTTCCTGCAAATGGGTACTACGTAAAAAACGAGATGGAACTTACAAGGCAAGACTTGTTGCTCGTGGCTTTGTGCAAAAGGAAGGCATAGATTATACAGAA